ACTGCTCATGTTCCCACCACAATTAGGCCTCAGCTGAATTCTATAGCTCATTGCTGCTGCCCTTTAAAACTAGGGTTAACTATTACTTTTAACATAAAATAGAGTTAAAATTTCCATAAAGTCATTGAACAGAAGGCTGAAAATTAATGTCTATTCCATTAATCAAAACACACCAACACTTGCCAATGTTTCAATTATTTTTTCGTACCTACAATTTTGATTCCATTGATATACCAAATACTCTTCTGAAAATCTTAGCAGCAAACTGACCAATCCAAACAGTTTTTCCAATTACCTTTTTAACACTTCATATTTTATATTTTGATTAGAGATAAACTAAACTGCAAACTTACATCAATTATAACAGCAGACATGTTCAATTGGAAACCAGCAAGACCAGTTCAGTTACTGAACTGATATACTATATAACGGCAATACTATTATAAATAACAATTCAATGTTGACTTCTAATACAAAGTATGAATTTTCAAACTGTTAAGAAAAAGAAAAGAGAAAATAGTGACTGGATACTCACTAAGATGAGACATTAATGCCACAGAAATTACTTTCTTTTTAAAAACTATGCTGAAACTGTTTAATTGCAATAGACACTCCAGGATGTGTCATGCTGAGATAATGCCACTTCTTGAACCACTGAAAGCACTCCATGAGCCTCCAAACTCACCCAAGGCATGGAATCATTATCATAGCATGACACACACCTGCCGTGTCTTATTGCTTAATTATAACCCACCATAGATGCAACTGCATTGAATTTTCAGTATAAGTCTAGAATTGAATAGAATTGCATTCATTCAATCTTCATACCCACATTGGCCTATTGGGCTATATTCCCGTAACTGTCCTTATCACTATGTAAATTGACAGACTTGGGTCCAGTCTGGATGAAGTAATCTTTTATTAATAATACTATTAATACAGTGTTAAGATAGAACTGACAAATACTCCAGCTTATAATTTAACTACAATTATACCTATATCGAGTTAACATTTTAAACGAGAATTTACCTGTAAATACAAAATGTGTTGCTCAAGAGCACTAAAGAGCAAAGCAGGCTGGAATGCCGAGAGGCTCTGGAGCTTGTTCCAATCGATTGCAATTTTCACCACATCATCTCGGAGGTTAAGCTTCAAAAGGGCAAACCAGCAACATCACAAAAATTACACGATTAAACTGTACGTATATGGGACTGTCACACATAAAAAAGGTTTCTATAGAGTAACATGCCTATTAGCTCAAAGTTATCAAGTTTCTAATGATACATTAAAATACTCTATGTAGTTATCATTTTTAAAAGGCCAAGGTGCAATTTTCATTAAAAAGTGGAATGACATTTCATTCTAATTCTATTTTTGGGTCTGTGTAATGGGACCATCTTGGGGGCGAAACCATCCAAGAAAGATAAAAAGATGAGGCCTTTCTGATGCTTCAATATCTAAAAATCTATTGATGGGAAGCCAAGATAGGCTTGCCCTATTCAAAATCCTACTACGCCTGGCTCAAAGCATTAACCAGAGGGGGCAGGCACATTAATGAAAGTTCTCATATACACATTTCCTCTGAAACATATACATAAGTACGTAACTGAAATATATCATCACTCTGATGTCTTCTGAAACACATTTTTATTGTTTTCAACTTTAACCAATTTCTTAAAATTTTAAATAAAAATTATTCACATACATTAAAAAGTCTGGGGATAATGGCAACATGTTTATCTACTTCAAATAAAATTAAACTATTACTCAGCTGTAGAAATTTGAAATTGAAAAACAAATGCCTTTCTACAATAGTGAAATAAATGGTCAGAGAATGGATGGAATGACCAGATCTTCTGCTAAATAGTATTTTCTAGTAAACTGTGAGGGTTCATTATATGACAATTTCTTATAAGTTAGCTAAGTGTGACCTATCTGAATAAAATTGTTTATGGAAATCTACCAAGAACCTAAATATAAAATTAATATCAAAAATCAGCAAAAACTTCAGAGGGAAAGCCTCCATCCCTAGTCTTTTGAAATGAATAAAAGTGAACTACCAGTTTATATTAATTAACTAAGGTTTTACATTAAGATTACCACATTCATATTATGTTACTTAATGCCTATAAAGACTTTGTTAGACAACAACTTATGCATGGAAATAAACTATTACTATAGTTTTACATACAGTCAACCATACAAATTTATGAATAGTTTGGAGATAAAGCAAGCAATCCTTAACCAGAGCAAAGCATCAACTTTTCAAGAGAAAATAATAACTTACAGAAAATAAATCATAATTTTTGGATCATATTCTCATTTCAATTCAGCAAAATTATCTAAAAATTCAAGTGCACTTAAAGAACTATAATTTAAAAAGACCACATAAAAATGTCACAAATTAACTTTAAAACTATCCCAATACATCCAAGTACTTATTCAACAAATTCCCTATTAGTAATATAAATTTTATGCATTTCTACCCTATAGAACTTGTCAAAAAAAGTATTAGTCTATTAATATGAACTATTTAAATATTTATTTTCAATAAAAACTTTGTCAAATTAACATGAAAATCCAAGTTAAAAATAAATAATTCTTCGGCTTGGTAAAATGGGCTACCCTGAGGCAAGCGATAAAGTTAAAATCAATAATTTGAAATCTGAAATAGAAAATACTTTTTAACATTCAACTTTGTTTCCTTTTGAGTGCTAATAACACAATGATACTATACTGAATGAACTTAGACATATTATAGCATACATTTAAAAACAACAACAACTTTAAGGTTGTTGCAAAAAGAAATAGTGATTTTCTCCAGGGGCAATTTTATAAGTATAGTACTCTGGCTTCCATTCTTATCTTTAAGCAATGCATGTCAAAATCTAAAGAGTATTATCAAGATGGTTAGCATTTAATTGATGATACTACCATATTTTTTAACACTCGTATAGATGGTCACTTCACTGTGTCAAGTAAATTTGCCAAATATTTACTCTAAACATTTCTGACAGGTGACATACGAAAATTGTAATCATATCTCTACTTGTATTTACAGAATACCTGCACGTTTAAAATTTTAAATGAGTTTTAAAAATTCAGTATGCCAAATATTTCAAAAGACATGTTAAAATTATTTCTTTATGTCATTTAAAAATCTCTTCACTAAAACAAACAAAAATCCCACAAAACTTAAAAGTTCCATGTCCACACCAGAAAAAGTTGTCAAACTTTTAAAACCACTTACAGGTTTTGGGTCTTAAGACTGAAATATTAATGTCCCCAAGTCTTTGAAATATTTTTTATAAATCCATAGCAAACAACTGAGTTTAAAAGTTACAGCTTTTAGCACATTCTATTAATAACTGTTCCATTACACCAAACTGAATGTTTAACTTAGAGCAATGCTCTCTGTAAATCACGATAAACGTATTAGGCCTTTTAAAATACTGAAATAATTTTTTAAACAATTGATTCTCCATCCACCCAAGGCTTTAAGAAATAATTTTCACAAATCAGACAAACGCTCTATCTTCATAAAGGACGTTAACATTATCTTTCACACAAACGCCTGTGGTGCCTACTGCAGGCACTAGTACCAGCCCCATAACAAACTTTCACAGCTAGAAAATATTCCTTTTTTAAAAGCAGCCAAACTTATTTTCAAGTTATTTCTCATTTAAAATCTGCTTTGCACTTTACATCATGAAACCAAATAGCGACTTGCTGAAAGAGCCTAAGGAGTACTTTTATTTAAACACAACTTTATTATGACGTTTCTGCAAAAGCTATTTAACAGCCAATTAAACTCGCTATTAGTCACACAGTCCTGTTGCAAACAGTATCCACCATCAATAACTAATACAACTTTTTGTTAGAAGTATTTCATATTAATTCTTTTTCTTTTCCTCCCCCTTTGAAAGGGTCATTGATGCACACAATGGACACCAGGAAAAAAAGAAACGAAGTCACTGGCTCATAGCAAATTATACATCAAAAAAAAAGGCGGAGAGCTTGTCCCGAAATCTCAGGCCGTTTTAACCCCTAATGAATGCGCTGGAGGAGAGGGATCCGGAGGCGAGAGCCTCGCAAGCCGCGGAGGTTTTCTGCTTTCAAGGCCGCTCCGCTCAGAGCCGGGTTTTCACTAACCTCACTCGCTCCCGGCGACGAGAGTTGCCAGGAAACAGCCCGCAACGGGCCCTGAGCTGCGTCCCGCGGC